TTTGGCAATCTCACAGCATTAGGAATTCTTACTTTCTCCAGCTCCATGAGAATGCATGGCCCACACAGAACACACTTGAGCATCCAAACCTGCAGAGGAAGATTGTTTTAAGGTCTGGAGCTCACGGCAGAAACCAATCTAAGTTCTGTTCCACTTTGCAACCATAAAAGCACGGTTTCAAAAAAAAAATGTACATTGAGTACCTGGTGTTTGATATGGAACAGTATGCAACATGCTTATGATATGTAATAGGCTACAAAATCTGCGTTCATAGCCTTGAATAACAAATTAGAACCCAGCTCTGGCATACGTAGATGGGAAATAGAATGCATGTCTTTTTAGTGCATGGATACAGCTGTTCCCTTGAGCTGCATAGAGCAGGTGGTTCAATGAAACCATTGCTTAAAAAAAAAAATCAAAAAAATTAAATGACAGCAGGTTGGCTTGAAATGAAAAATCAAATAAGGTTTATATGTGCAAAAGTTAATTACTGAAGCAATTAATGTTTGTTCTACAAAATTATGTTGCAAGTGAAACATTTGGGCAAAATAACCACTAAACAGCTTCAATCACACAATTTAAAAGGGAGACAATCCATTTAGAAAATTAGAGTTTAAAGTAGTTTCCAATATTAGACATGATCCTGAAAATACCACTGGCAATTTCTGTGATTTTACAATAACTTTTTCTTAATTTTTAAATGCCTCTCACCCAAAGACTTATGTACAAAACAAACACACTGCGGGATGGGGGAAAAAAATATGCTCTCTAACTTTATGTTAATAGTACACAAAAATATATCAGATAAACATTTTTGAAGTTAGTGGCATCCCTTTAAATCTTCTTTAAAGAGTGATACTATCTCCAGGAAGGACAGTAATTTTTGTTGTAGATTTCAGAGTGGTAGCCGTGTTAGGCTGTATCAGCAAAAAGAACGAGGAGAACTTGTGGCACTTTAGAGACTAACAAATTTATTTGGGCATAAGCTTTCGTGGGCTAAAATCCATTTCATCGGGTTTAGCCCACGAAAGCTTATGCCCAAATAAATTTGTTAGTCTCTAAAGTGCCACAAGTTCTCCTCGGTTTTTTTGTCATAGAGGAAATCATGCCAATGCCAGCAATTATTAACCATATGTATCTTCTTTTGTCAGGTAAAATAGTCACTCACTAAAATGCACTCCAGTGCTTACTTTCATGTACTTCCCCCATGATTTCACTGTCATCCCTCCTCTGGAGCAGAAACTATCCCAAGTTGTATGGTGGATTTTAGATGTGTGTGTGTGTTTGGGGGGAGGGGGGGAATCCATCATCAAAAGCTAAAATGGGACCAACACATTTATTTCATGTATACCTTAGGCAAGTTTAAATTCAGTGGGTTGGTATTGCAGCCTACTGTCAGTACTTTTCGCTAAGACCTAGGTTCAGTCTGCCCAGGCTTATGAGATTGAGAGCAGCGACAGACTCAGATTCGTATCTCAGCCTCCACAGAGCATAGATGGAGATAGAAACTGGCATCCTACTTACTGATACTGTGACAAAGTTCCTCCTCTACGTTGGTGGGTCTTGTGCTTAACTGGCGGATTTGCTCGCCTCAGACATTCACGGCAGCCCTCAGTTTGGCAGTTTTCGTGAACCCACAGTCCAGGTCAACTCCTCCTGTGTCTGACCGGGAGTTGGGAGGTTTCAGGGGAACCCGGGCGCGCCCTCTACCCCGGGTTCCAGCCTAGGGCCCTGTGGACTGCAGCTGTCTAGAGTGCCTCCTGGAACAGTTGCACGACAGCTACAACTCCCTGGGCTACTTCCCCATGGCCTCCTCCCAACACCTTCTTTATCCTCAGTCCTCCAACAGTACGCGTTCTCACTCTCAGCTCCTCACACACGCCCCACAAACTGAAGTGAGCTCCTTTTTAAACCCAGGTGCCCTGATAAGCCTGCCTTAATTGATTCTAGCAGCTTCTTGATTGGCTGCAGGTGTTCTAATCAGCCTGTCTTAATTGTTTCCAGAAAGTTCCTGATTGTTCTGGAACGTTCCGTGTTACCTTACCCAGGGAAAAGGGACTGACTTACCCTGGGGCTAATATATCTGCCTTCTATCACTTTCCTGTAGCCATCTGGCCCGACCCTGTCACAATATGTATAATCCCATATAGTACATGTCTCAAATACATATCTCCCAAGTGACTGGAAAAGAAAAAACATCCCAAAAAACACTGAATTTTCTATAAAAGAAACCCAAACATCCCCAAAACAGCAGCATGCTGATTTACCCAAAACTGGGAAACCTGTTTTAAATGAAGAATGATGCCATGTTGTGTGTGATACTTCATGTATGTTTAGTTAGGACTAAATGGTGGCTTTAGTAAAATCCCTAAATAAGGGGCATTGCTTAGTTGTACTGCCTCGAGAGCAGACCACATCTCTCTCTCACAATATGGTTCCTGGTTCACCCTTCTCTCAGGGGAGAAGTAATCGGCACCAGCCCTCTGCCTTGCACAGGCTACTTGCCTCTGCTCTGGCTCAGCTGAGCTGTCTGGCACATCAAGGAGGGGGAGAGAAAGTCAAGGCTCCATCTGCTCCCCACTCATGCCCTGTCCACCTGAATAGGGCTAAGAGAGGGAGGTGAGATGAGGCTGCGATGTGAGATACAACTAGCCACCTAACTCTCCTGCACTGGCACATACTGAGGATCACAACTGCGCTCTCATTCAACAATTTATTAGCTAGATAAATAATTTTTAAAAAGTTGTTTAACTTCTCAGCAAGTTCAGGTCTTAAATTAAATACACTTGGTGACTCAGGCCAGACTTTAAAAAGAAAGAGACACTGGTTAAGGTAAATTTTCAAAGCACTAAATAGAGTTTTAGCCAGGAAGCTCCCTTTACTGCTTTGAAATGTCACAAGTGCACTTTAGTGAGTGACTCTTTCCAGGAAGCAACAAGATTACAAAAGTAAATCCATACCCCAATGCCCAGCATCTTGCAAAATATTTATTTTTAATATTCCAAATTATTGACAAAATGAAATGAATGATGATCAGATGATTAAAAAGCCTGGAGCCTTTTAAAGAGAATGAAAATAAAGTGTCTCATTTCAGGCCTTCCCCACTACTGTCTCCTAAAAAGAGACTTAGAGCAAGCACAAACTAATAGTAAACAACAACAAAACTTTGCACATGTTATACAAACACCTCAACCCAGATATAAAGTGGTCCTCAGGAACCAAAAAATCTTATCGCGTTATAGGTGAAACTGCATTATATCGAACTTGCTTTGGCCTCAAACATTTCCATTATTCATAGTCACTTCCCGCCCCCTGACTGACCCCTCAGAACCCCCGAACCATCCAACCCCCCCCGCTCCTTGTTCCCTGACTACCCCCTCCAGAGACTGCCTGCCCCTAACCACCCCTCCCAAGACCCCACCCCCTATCTAAGCCCCCTGCTCCTTGTCCCCTGACCGCCCCCTCCAAAGAATCCCCTGTCCCTAATCACCCCGGGACCCACCCCCTACCCAACCCCACTGCTCCCTGTCCCCTGCCTGCCCCAACCCCTATCCACACCCCCACCCCCTGACAAGCCCCCGGGACTCCCACACCTTATCCAACGCCCCATTTCCCATCCCCTGACCGCCTCACCCCTAGAACCTCCAAACCATCCAACCCCTCTGCTCCCTGTCCCCCTCCCCCCTCCCGCCTGAGACTCTCTGCCCCTTATCCAACCCCTCGACCACGCCCCGGCACTCTTAACACACCGCTCAGAGCAGCATGTCGGAGCCAGACACGCTGATCTGCCGAAGTGCGCAGCCCCACCCCCCAGAGTGCTGCTTCACCGTGTTATATCCGCATTCGTGTTATATCGGGTCGCATTATATCGGGGTAGAGGTGTAGTACCTTCTGTTTGAGAACATCAGAGTGCTTTCAATTCTTTTAAGTAGATCTCACAACACCTTTGTGAATTAGGAACTATTACAACATATCCATTTTATTGATGGGAAAATCAAGTCACAGAGAGTACCATGATTTAATGATTTGCATACGGTCTAGACACAAATCAGTGGGAGAAACGGGAATGGAATACAAAATACTTGAGTACAACCCTGTCAAAGATCCTAGGTACATTCGTGGGCGGCTAGCCCAAGCCACTGCCCATGCCACCACAGCCACACTGCTATTTTTAGTGCACTAGCTGGAGCAGAGCTAGTGCATATGTGTCTATTCTAACTGGGAATTACAGCAGTGTAGACATACTCCTAAATAACAACACCTCACAGAGAATTGTTTAATAATTCATCCATATAAATTAGACTTCAGTCATGGAATTATAAAAACTGATAACGTCCAGACATGTATTCATGTCGGCCCTGATTATACACATGCAGGCAGTCCCTGACCCCTGAACAGAAAATTTCTGAAGTCAACAAGGCTCCTTATGGGCTCAGCAGTTTGCATGTCTGGCTCAGACTGCAGTATTAGTCCCTTAATTGGTAGGACCCTTTTCCCTCCACCGCTTTTAGTTTCTACATATTCGCGACATTTTCTCATAGAAATGGTGTGTCTTTACAAAGACCTATGCTAGCCAGCATGCCAAATACATGCTAGCTTTAAACAGGCTTCTCTTGCCAACTGCAAATGAAGTGACATCATAGATTTTTTTTAAAAAAGCATACCAGTTTGCAACCATCTCCAACTAGTCATTTTGATTAAACCAAATATATTCTGTTATAGATATTTTAACACAGAATATTTTAAAACACTGGTTTTGTACAATAGAGGTCTTAACAGAAAAAGGTTTAAGTCTCAGCCCAGGCTATCAAGATGATCAGATATCCAGTAAATTATGTAAATATTTTCAGAAGTTATCCAACATGCAGTATAAAAGTTTAAATAGAGTAAGAAGTGTGTAGTATGTGCACTGTTCTGGTATATATAGTGTGCACATATATTGCTGACCGCCAGGGCAAACCACAGGGGGGTCATATTTGCAACTGAAAAAAAATGCTTACCTGTTAATGTAACTTAGAGCAACATATGTTGGCTGTTGCAGTTCTTGTTTCTCTAACACACGTGGGTCTGTATCTGTAATAAAAATACAAGTATGCATTTGCAATATTTGTACTGAAATATAGGAGTCTATAAGCAACATATCTGAAGAAGAAAAATGTAAAGGAGCTAAACCCCTTCGTAGAATAAGTTCAGTACAGCACAATCATTTGGTCATTCATTCATAGACAACAAGATATTGCATTACTTTTCAAGGGAATTCCAAACATCAACAGTGATAGAATTTCCATCTGTCATACAAACTTCATAATCCCTCTCATAAATATTAGTTTTCATTGCTTACAGCAACCATGTTGGCATCGTTTCCATGGTTTACACTGTTAAAAACGAAATAGAGTCAAAAATTAAAGATTTCTTTTAAGACATTTCTAAAGTTGATCAACAAATTGTGACACTTTACAAAAGGACCAGTTTTCACAAACAGCTATCTGTTGAGGTTCATCATCTATTTACCTCAGCACACACAAATTCTGCTTCTTCTCCTACCCTAACTCTTTCAATCAGAAATGCACATGAAAGTACACATGTAGCAAAATATATGCCCAGCAGAAGATTGCCCTTCGGAAGCACAGAAGCAAGCATTCGTCAATTCCCACTAACACTGACTTTACAGTTCAAGAATGAACTGTACCTGGTTTTATGCACGAGTCTTGTTCAATTCAACTTTGCTGTTATCTAAGCAAAGAAGCAGTCTTAGTCCATGTTGCTGAAATGAAGAAGAGCGAACATACACATTTTTTAAAAACAAAAAAGTAGTTACTAAAAAAAAAAAGGATAATCTTGATTTTAAAAATGCAGCATGGCCTCATATTCCAATACAGCCCCTTTAGAAATTAAAAACAAAAAAGGTTTTAACAAAATGTGTATCATGCAGATGAACATGACCATGCAGTTGTTATCACAAACTGCGTGCATGTCTTTAACAGCAATTCTATGGGCAACTTATGTTTCCTAACTATGAAGAATGCAGACTGTTTTACTAAATAGCTCTCTATAGTACTGCTGGTATCCATCTTTCATTTCTCACTGCAAAGAATATTGTCAACACACTTATGCAATATTCTAGACTGAACCTATTTTCTCCACACAACTTTAAGCCATGTTATTTTTCAAAAGTTCATTTCCCTAATATTGTCACATGTGCTTTTGAGCTAGTCAGCAGCATCTGTATTCTATTTAAAAACATTCCAGTAATAATCTTAGGCCCCAGCTCTTTAGCCCTACACAGGTAAAACTTCCATCAAAAGGAATAGCAGTTCTTGACTGAGGAGTACAAGATTATTCAGCCCTCAGTTCTAGTCAATTAACATTTTGTTTAATGAGTGCAGTCACTCCTGGGCTGCCATAAAGCTTAAGAATAATTCAAAAAGACTTCCCTCGGCCCCCCAGATTTGTTCCATGACAACTCAGACTCTGTGTTTGACAACATACTTCACCAACACGCCCATACGTAGATGGAAACTTACAATGACAACATATTTGATTGAGCAGGTTCAGAGAACAGTCACATATACATACATAGTGTCAAGCAGATCAACAACCCGTAGCCAATTACTTTTAACAGGAAACAGACCTTTTCTTATGTCTAAAAAGCAGTTGCAGTCTACAGAGATTATAGCGATCACCAACACACAGTGCGCTGGACTGCTCTAACTGAAGATAGTGACAAATCAGTTATCTTATATGTTATCTTTATGCTCCACTCAACCAGGAATGGCAGGCTCAAACACAAAAAGATCTCTTTTATGTTCCTTTGCATTACTGTGAGACCTCCATTCATTTAGCAAGCCAAGCACGCAATCTGCATCATGATGAACTCTGTTAGATTTACATCTTTGTGGTTCAAGGTCTACCATGGGACTGCCTTCATGCAGAATGTCTGCAGAGCATTATCCCCCCGTCGGGGTCATCCTAAAACTGCTTCAACCCAAGTTTAGGCATCTGTGGCTAAATGACTGAAGCTTCCCTAATCCAGTTCTTAACTTGGATTAACCTTCATCAACAATGAACAGTTTCTGTGTCTGAATGAGGCAACTTTGGGGCTGGTTTGAGTCACATGTATACGTGGGAGAGAGGGGCTAAGGGAAAAACTTTATAGTGGAGTGTCCACCACCTATTTGCTTTATGGGAGCAGCTCCCCCTAGCACTGACAGAAGATAAGGAAGACCACATGACGTTCATCTTGATATGTCAGAACAGAGTGTGGGAAACTGTTTACCTAGCATCTGCGCGCAGGACAGATCAAAACTGAACCCTCAGATCACTGTTTGTAGCATCTTCTACTGGACCAACTTCTGGTAGCGAAACAGACAAGCTTTCGAGCTACACAGAGATTATATTCACAAATTGTCCAGGAACAGGTAGCAAAGGTCTCATGTTCTAGTATTCAAACTGATTACAAAATGTCTTCAGTGAATGATTTTTGGTTTGCTAATCATTTGGTAATTACACTTCACACATAGTGCTGTGTTGGACAGCTATACAAGTCATGAGGTATTCCTTCTGTTCTCTGGTTGGATGACATACATAACTCACCAAAGAAGCAAATATATATTGTACAATTTGTAATTACTTTAAAAACTGCTTTTGCATTTGCACTTCTAAAGCTTGAGACCTTGAATGTATGCAGAAAGAAAACATAAAAGGGTAGTACATATGCTCAAGCTGAAATTCACTTTCAAATTTAAAGTTCCAAAAATGTTTTCCACTAGACTAATGAAAACCACATTTGCTTTTCTAAATATTTATTTTTCCCTATAATAATGTACCTTACTTGCACTTAGCACCTCTTATCAGACTCTCAAAGCACAATTATTCATTGGCTTTTGGGGTGGAGCTTTAAAGCTCACCTATTTCCCCTAGTTTTTTCCAACCCCCTCCCCCCAGATATTCTTGTTAAACCCTGGATTTGTGCTGGAAATGGCCCACCTTGATCATCATACACATTGTAAAGAGAGTCATCACTTTAGATAAGCTATTACCAACAGGAGAATGGGTTTGTGTGTGTGTTTGGGGGGGGAGCGGAGAAAACCTGGATTTGTGCTGGAAATGGCCCACCTTGATTATCATACACATTGTAAACAGAGTGATCACTTTACATAAGCTATTACCAGCAGGAGAGTGGGGTGGAGGGAGAGAAAACCTTTTGTAGTGATAATCACCCATTTTTTCATGGTTTGTGTGTATAAAAACGTCTTCTGTACTTTCCACAGTATGCATCAGATGAAGTGAGCTGTAGCTCACGAAAGCTTATGCTCAAATAAATTGGTTAGTCTCTAAGGTGCCACAAGTACTCCTTTTCTTTTTGCAAATACGGACTAACACGGCTGTTACTCTGAAACCTGCATAGGAGGGTGAAGCTGTGGGACCAACAGAAGCAGTTGCTGCTGTCTTCTGACCTTTTGGATAATTTCTTCTCGGTTTCACTCCTCCGAACAGCTTTCATTCCAGCTTCACATACTTGATTCTGCAAGACTACAACTAACTATTCTCTCACTACTCCTGCTTTTGTTCCAGCCACACAGGAAGACAAGACAAGACACAATGGGAGTAGTTTAATTAAGCTGCAACTTTATTCACTTAACATATCTGGGGAATACTCGGCAATAAATCATATGGTGCAGGTCATAATTTTTTTCTTAATTGCTTCCATTTATTTGGGGGAGGACTGCCATCCGCCCTCTCCTTTCCCAACCTGGGCACAGCCAGCATAGGCACTGACTCCATGGGTGCTCTGGGGCTGGAGCACCCACGGGGAAAAATTAGTGGGTGCTCTGCACCCACTGGCAGCCAAGCTCCCCTCACCCCTCCTCCTCCTTTTCCTCCCCTGAGCGTGCTGCATCCCCGCTCCTCCGCCTACCTCCCAGCATTTCCCGCCAGGCTCCCGCTAAACAGCTGTTTGGCGGCATTAGCATGCTCCGGGAGGGAGGGGGAGGAGCGGGAATGTGGTGCACTCGGGGAAGGAGTTGGAATAGTGGCAGGGAGGCGGCGGAGTTAGGATGGGGACTTTGGGAAAGGGGTTGTAATGGGGGCGGGGCAGGGGTGGGAAGAGGCAGGACAGGGGTGGGGCATCATGGAAGGGGTAGAGTGGGGCTGGAGGTGGGGGGGGGGTTGAGCACCCGGAGGAAAGTTGGAGCCTATGACAGCCAGCCCATTGCTGAGACCCCACCGTTCTCCCCTTGTATGTAAGTTCAGAGGGATGGGAAAACAGGGAGGGAGGAACCCCAACCCCCTTCTTCCAGCTTCCTTAGGGGATGCCTCCCCTAAATCCACTTCAGGGAACTGTATCCCTCTGTAACAAGTAGCCACAAAGGATACCTGCCACACTTGATATCCACTAAGTGCAACATCTTGACCTAACCTCCTTATCTACCTCACCAGGTTCCTGACCTGAGAAAAAACCTACCCCGCCTCCAGAGCCATCCCTAGCTATTTTGGGGCCCTGCAGGGTGTGTGTATGGGGGGCCTCAGGCCTGAAGACACGGGGGTAAGTCGACCTAAGCTACGTCAACTCCAGCTACATTATTCATGTAGCTGGAGTAGCATAACATGTAGCTGGAGTAGCATAACTTAGGTGGATTTACCCTAGTAGTGAAGACAAGCCCATAGTCTTGAACCCTATTAGCTATTTCGTCATTCCTTACCTCTGACTTCCTCTCCATGGCCATGCCAGTACCCTTTCCCCTCAACATCCCTTCCCCTCATGCTTGCTCCCTTCATACATCTCATTTTCATTTCTTTATCTCCCTTTCTCTGCTCCCACTTCCATCCCACCAATTTCTCATTCCCCCCTAAAATTGTCAATGCAGTTATTGAATGACATAAAATAAAAAAAATTATATAGATGTGTATAAACACAAATCAACATTTGCACATGACAAACCGAAGATATCCCATGAATTTTTACTCCACTAATCCTTGTAGTTACTTCTCCTATTCCCTATGACCTTTTAGTGTGCTCTTTCTTATTGTGCCCTGCTTTAACTACAGGTAGTGTCTATTTTATTTTTCTGGAT